CAATCTCTGCCTCCCGGGTTCAAGCGATTCTCCTGCCTCAGCCTCCCGAGTAGCTGGGATTACAGGCACCCACCACCACACCCAGCTAATTTTTTTTTGAAACGGAGTCTCGCTTTGTCGCCCAGGCTGGAGTGCAATGGCAGGATCTTGGCTCACTGCAACTTCCACCTCCTGGGTTCAAGCGATTTTTCTGCCTCGGCCTCCTGAGTAGCTGGGATTATAGGTGCCCACCACTGTGCCTGGCAAGTTTTGTATTTTTAGTAGAGATTGGGTTTTGCCACGTTGGCCAGGCTGGTCTTGAACACCTGACCTCAGATGATCCACCCGCCTCCGCCTCCCAAAGTACTGGGATTACAGGCATGGGCTGCTGCGCCTGGCCAAACCCCAGTGTTGTCATTTGTAAAATGAGGTCATGTTAGTACTTACTTAACACAGTTTGGGGAGGATTTAAATTGTTAATCCTTGTAAATGGCACCTGGAATGTAGTACGTGCTCATTAAATGTTGGTTCTCTCTCTCTCAGGCTTCCAAAGGAGTTTAGTTAGTAACCCAGTGCTGTTGTTCATTCCTCATTGATTCCATGATCTGGTACTTCTAGAAGGCGTTACTGAGCTCCAGACCCTGCTCTGAACAGGATCATTTTGCTTTTTTTTTTTTCTTTTTTGGAAACAGAGTCTCGCTCTGTCGCCCAGGCTGGAGTACAGTGGTGTGATCTCGGCTCACTGCAAACCCTCCTGGGTTCACACCATTCTCCTGCCTCAGCCTCCTGAGTAGCTGGGACTACAGGCGCCCACCACTACGCCCGGCTAATTTTTTTTTGTATTTTTAGTAGAGACGGGGTTTCACCGTGTTAGCCAGGATGGTCTCGATATCCTGACCTCATGATCTGCTTGTCTTGGCCTCCCAAAGTGCTGGGATTACAGGCGTGAGCCACCGCGCCCGACTTTTTTATTTATTTATTTTTTTGAGACAAGGTCTTACTTACTTTGTTACCCAGGCTGGAGTGTCACCATCACAGCTCACTTCATCCCTAAATTCCTGGGCTCAAGTGATCCTCCTGCTTCAGCCTTCCAAGTAGCTGGGACTAAGGTGTGTGCCGCCGTGCCTGGCTATTTTTTTTTTTTTTTTTTTTTTTTGAGACGGAGTCTCGCTCTGTCACCCAGGCTGGAGTGCAGTGGCCAGATCTCAGCTCACTGCAAGCTCCGCCTCCCGGGTTCACGCCATTCTCCTGCCTCAGCCTCCCGAGTAGCGGGGACTACAGGCGCCCACCACCTCGCCCGGCTATTTTTTTGTATTTTTTTAGTAGAGACGGGGTTTCACCGTGTTAGCCAGGATGGTCTCGATCTCCTGACCTCGTGATCCACCCGTCTCGGCCTCCCAAAGTGCTGGGATTACAGGCTTGAGCCACCGCGCCCGGCCTTTTTTTTTTTTTTTTTTTTTGAGACAGAGTCTTGTTCTGTCACCCAGGCTGGAGTGCAGTAACGTAATCTTGGATCACTGCAACCTCTGCTTCCTAGGCTCAAGCAATTCTCATGCCTCAGTCTCCCAAGTAGCTGGGATTACAGGCACCCGCCACCATGCCCGGCTAATTTTTGTATTTTTATTAGAGACAGATTTCACCATGTTGTCCCGGCCAGTCTTGAACTCCTGGCCTCAAGTGATCCACCCGCTTCAGGCTCCCAAAGTGTTAGGATTACAGGCGTGAGCCACTGCTGGTCTTGAACTCCTATGCTCAAGGGATTCTCCTCCTTGACCTCCCAAAGTGCTGAGTTTACAGGAGTGAGCCACCACACCCGGTCTGTTCTGCCTTTGACAGCCTCCCCTTCGAAGTCCTGCCTCAGAATATCCTCCTCCAGGGAACCCTCCCTGATGCCCTCAGACTGTAACTTGCCAACACAGGGCTCCTCCTGTTTCTTGCCCTATAGCAATTAATACTTACTTCATTCTGGACTGACCTTCCTGAGGGCAAGACCTGGATCTCTCTGTTCCCTACTAGATCTTGAGCATCCAGCTCAGGGCTCAACACACACTGGGTGCTCAATAATGTTTGAGGATGGCACAGAACAGAGGAGAGGGCAGATGATTGAATGGATGCCCTTTCCTCCCCACAGAATGACTTTCTCACCGGTGTGTTTCCTGCCAGCCCCCTCAGTTGGCTTTTCCTCTTCAGTGCCATCCAGCTTGCCTGGTTCCTCCAGCTGGATCCTTCCTTAGGACTGATGGAGAAGATCAAAGAGTTGCTGCCCGACTGGTGAGGTTCCCCCACTCCAGCCCAGTAACCCCCAATCACTCTCCCTCCACCCAGTAAATTCTTCTGTCATTGTGGTGTACCTGCTAAAGAAAAGTTACCTCTGAGACTTACTTTGGGTCAGATTAATAAAGGTATAGCATGAAGAAAAAGGAGGTGAGGCCGGGTGCAGTGGCTCACCCCTATAATCCCGGCACATTGGGCATTGGGAGGCCGACGTGGGTGTATCACTTGAGGTCAGGAGTTCAAGACCAGCCTGGCCAACATGGTGAAACCCCATCTCTACTAAAAATACAAAAAAGTAGCTGGGCACGGTGGCAGGCACCTGAAATCCCAGCTACTAGGGAGGCTGAGGCAGGAGAATCGCTTCAACCCGGGAGGTGGAGGTTTTAGTGAGCTGAGATCGGGCCATTGTACTCCAGCTTGGGCGACAAGAGCGAAACTCTGTCTCAAAAAAAAAAAAAAAAAAATAGTGCGAGCTTTGCTGGGCACAGTGGCTCATGCCTGTAATCCCAGCACTTAGGGAGTTCAAAGCAGGAGGATCACTTGAGCCCAGGAGTTTGAGACCAACCTAAGCAACATGTTGAAACCCCGTCTCTACTAAAAATACAAAAAATTAGCCAAGTGTGGTGTCACTCACCTGTGGTCCCAGCTACCCAGGAGGCTGAGGTGGGAGGATCACCTGAGCCCAGGAGGTCGAGGCTGCAGCAAGCTGAGATCATGCCACTGCATTGCAGCCTGGCAACGGAGTGACACCCTGTCTCAAGAAAAAAATTTTTTAAAATGGCCAAGCATTGTGGTTCACACCTGTAATCCCAGCACTTTGGGAGGCTGAGGTGGGCAGATCACCTGAGGTCAGGAGTTCGAGACCAGCCTGGAAAACATGGTGAAACCCCGCCTCTACTAAAAATACAAAAATTAGCCAGGTGTGGTGGTGTGCACCTGTAGTCTCAGCTACTCGGGAGGCTGAGGCAGGATAATCACTTGAACCTGGGAGGCAGAGGTTGCAGTTGCGTTGAGTCAAACATTTGGTGTGCCCAAACCTGGTACCATCGCCCTGGTGACATCAGCCGAGACCTTCCGTCTCAAAAAAAAAAAAAAAAAAAGGCCGGGCGCGGTTGGCTCAAGCCTGTAATCCCAGCACCTTTGGGAGGCCGAGACAGGTGGATCACCAGAGTCAGGAGATCGAGACCATCCTGGCGAACACGGTGAAACCCGTCTCTACTAAAAAATACAAAAAACTAGCCTGGGCGATGCGGGTGGCCTGTAGTCCCAGCTACTCGGGAGGCTGAGGCAGGAGAATGGCGATGAACCCGGAGGCGGAGCTTGCAGTGAGCCCGAGATCGCGCCACTGACTCCAGCCTGGGCGACAGAGCAAGACTCCGTCTCAAAAAAAAAAAAAAAAAAAAAAAAAAGTAATGAGCTTGCCCATCTCTAGTCATGTAGTCTTAGCCAAGAGACCTCACCATTCTTTTTTTTTTTTTTTTTTTTGAGATGGAGTCTTGCTCTGTTGTGCCCAGGCTGGGGTGCAGTGGGCCGGATCTCAGCCTCACTGCAATCCGCTC